TATGGAGCATCTATCTCTAATTAAGTAAGGTACTGTCAAAGACAAAAAGTTAAGTGAATGTCATTTTTTTTCTATTAATGGCTGAGTTCCCAGAATGATTCATATTTTAGCCTATGATATCATCCTTATTTAAGTGCTTCGACAGGCAAATAAACCCTTAGAGAAACAGAAGAAAATGAAAAGGGAAGTAGAAACAAGTCAAAAAAGTACCAGTCTAATTCAGGCTTTAGTATGAGTGTCGTATATTGTTTTCATTCAGAAGATCACTGTGATTTAAGTGACAATTTCAATAGTTTGAGAATTCTTTTTCTCTAACAGTGACATAAATGCTATATGGAAAGCACCTGCTTTCATTTTCAGAGTACTTTAAGAAAGTTAATCCTGAGAAGGGATTCTGGGAGGTGGGAGGGTAGAATGCTTTCTGTCTTCTCTCCCTTTCTGATTCCAATTTATCTACCTCTCTTGAGCCAAGCAGCTTCTGAAGTCAGAAGGCCTACAGGAATGAGGGAGAATTTAGGCTCTGTGGGGGTCCCCATAGAGAGCTGGCGCAGGATTTTATCTTTGCTGCACCCAGTGTACCCACTTAGAGCCTGGGGAACGAGGCAGGAGAAGCCTTAGGTAAGGCCCAGAATGTGGCTGATCCTGGGAAGAGCACAGTCTGCAGAAATCTTCCCACCTCCCAGATTCATGTCATAAAATGTTAATTCCCACAAGACATTTTTTTTTGTTTTTTTTTTTTTTGGTTGCGTTGGGTCTTCGTTGCTGTGCACAGGCTTTCTCTAATTGTGGCGAGCGGGGGCTACTCTTCATTGCAGTGGCTTCTCTTGTTGCAGAGCACGGGCTCTGGGTGTGCGGGCTTCAGTAGTTGTGGCTCGTGGCCTCTAGGGTGCAGGCTCAGTAGTTGTAGCACACGGGCTTAGTTGCTCCACGGCATGTGGGATCTTCCCGGACCAGGGATCGAACCCATGTCCCCTGCATTGGCAGGCAGATTCTTAACCACTGCGCCACCAGGGAAGTCCTGAAATCCCACAAGGACTTTTAAGGGGAATTATTTAAGAATTTACTAAATATTTGATTAATTTCTTAGAGAGAGAAAGAAGATTAGATATCTGAGAATAGGCAGGACAAGTCTGGAAGACATGTGGTAATGATGGTAGGGAGAGGTGGCCCACCTGACTCCACCTCAGAACATATTCTAAAACCACTGTAAATACAGTCGACATGATCCTAACACAGGAGTAGATAAACAGATCAGTGGAACAAAATAGAGCCTTTCCCAACCAGAATTTTCCACCTGAATCACAGAACACACAAAATGACTTGTCATTTTCTTGATTTTTGCCTAGGATGGAACAGAACTAGTACCAATCTAGATGCTTTGGAGAGAAGCCCATTCATTATAGACAGTAAATGTTATTAGGTATTAGGGTTTAATTCTCTTATTTACCTAGGTTGACACAGACTAGATAATTCAGAACTATAATATGGCAAAGGTAGAATTTCACCTTTATGAGAAAAGTTTTTGGTTTTTTGTAGTAGTGCAGGCACAACTGGCTATCCATTTGGGAGAAAATGAATTTGAACCCTTAGGTCACTTCATGTATGAAGTAAATTCCAGAAAAATTCAAAACTTAAATGTAAGAATGAAAACAAAAATCTTAGAAGGGGGCTTCCCTGGTGGCGCAGTGGTTGAGAGTCCGCCTGCCGATGCAGGGGACACAGGTTTGTGCCCCGGTCCCGGAAGATCCCACATGCCACGGAGCGGCTGGTCCCGTGAGCCATGGCCGCTGAGCCTGCGCGTCCGGAGCCTGTGCTCCGCAACGGGAGAGGCCACAACAGTGAGAGGCCCGCGTACCACTAAAAAAAAAAAAACCTTAGAAGAAAATCTTGGATTCTATATGTAAAAATGTATGGACTGAGAATACCTTAAATAAATCAGAAGACCCAGAAATTTAGTTTAATACAAAAAAAAGGACAGATTATATCAATTGTAAAAGTCTTTTATTTGGCTTTTTAAAAAAAGATAGATACTTTAAATACATTACCTCAATATACAGAAATTGATTTGAAAAAAATACTTGAAATACAAATGAAAAATCTTTATGGCAATAATACACAGATGCGGTTCTAAACTAATAAAAAAAATCAAAACCCCAATAGAATAAAGTAGCCAACGTTATGAATAAGTAATTCCTTTATGTGGAGTTCTGGAAAGGCAGCACTAATCTATAGTGATAGAAATCAGTCAGCGGTTTCCTGGGAAGTGAATGGAACTTGCTTGTAAGTGGGCATGATGGAATTTTCTGAAGTAAAGTAAATGTTCTGTATCATAATGGAAATACATTGTCAAAGGTCTTTGAACTTTGTATTTAAAATGTGTGCATTTATATATGTAAACTATACCTCAGTAAAGTTGATTTTAAAACCATAGTTGATACCCTTCAATGGTAATATTTTAAAGTATGTTAGTACCTGTTGTAATTAGGGTAGGGCTGTTGGGCAAAAGGATGTTCTCAGACCTTTCTTGTAGAAAGGTGAATTTTTATAGCCTTTGTGGAAGCAACTTTGAAACATCTATTAAGGTAAAAATCATACCTCTCCATCCAGTGGTCCTATTTCACAGACTCTGTTCCATAGGAATAAAAGTCCCAGTATGTAAAAACATGTACGTGAATATGTTTGATGCAGAATTGTTCTTAGTGGCTAAAATCTGGGTACCAAATAAATGCCCATTAGTAGGTGAAGGGCAGATTAAATTGTGGAACATCTTTATTATATTATATAGCTGTTTAAAAGGATAGGTAAGAGCTATATCAGATGAAAGGATTTCCATGAGGTATTGTTAAAGGAGAAAAGTATGACACACATAAGAAAACCAAATAGGCTTATTTCATTTTTGAAAAGCAAATGCTCTAAAAACTATAATGTAAAGAAACATGTTTTAATGTATGTGCAAAGAAAAACATTCCAGATCATTAACATAGTTTACCTAATGTGAAGGGCAGGATGTACAATGGGGTGGGAGAGGAGAGGAGGAATGGAGAGTTGAGCAAAAAAATAAAAAGGACTTAATTGGAAGACATCAAAACAATACACACACAGACAAAATAGCCTGTATTTGCAAGATTTCATGCATGTGCATAAACTAGGAGAAAATGTTAGAGTTTTATGTACTGACTTACAGAGATATTTGTAATATACATTCAAATTTTAGAAAGTATGTTACCAAGTAAAGTTTATAACACGATTATATTTTAGTAAATACAAGGTTCTCTGAAGATGAGTTCTTGTTAAATCTGAGTCAGAGCAACTGCCTTGTTTCCAGATTTCTTTCACTTTCTCTGAGAAAGTTTCCAAAATATTTCTGTTGACTTTTAGGCTCCTTAAGTGGATATCCGTTTATTTTAGAGTGTTAAGACCAATACAGAACAACAGTTGTGTAGTTCTCCTATTCCCTTCAGCACCACCCTTTGGTCCTAACAGTTGGATGTTTCTGATGGTCGGATCTGCACAGACTGCAGAGTCCTTTTGCTACAGTGGTTGAGAGAATGAGAATTGAATAGTTCTATCTCCTTGGGTTTGCCAGGATTCCACTTGGTTTTTCACTAAAGAAAATGCAAAGAAGCACATTCAGATCTCAGCTGGTGTCTTTCAACCCTCCATTTTTTTGTTCTGGCTGTACATTTTATGCTTTTATTTCACTGACTCTGGAGGGTGAGTATATGTAGCTAAATTTGAGATGGAGCAAAGTAGTAGAGGTGTTGGTCTAGGAGAAACCCTGCATCTGTGGTCATCACTGGTTTAGATTTCTTTCAAATTATAATGTATACTTTTGTCACTGTTTGTGTTTTCTGTGGTCTTCTTATAACATAAAACTTTTTCACGGTCACATGAGGAGAAAGCAAGATTTGCTAAGTGAAAAGCTGTATCTTTTATTAAACTTTCTATTCCTCATCTTTGGAAAACTATTGTTCTCCATGTGTGTCTTATATATCCCCATAAACGTCTGTGTGTTTGCTACAGGAAGCTCTAAGAGTGTTTTCATTCCCTTCATTTACCTTTACCAACATAAGACTTGATACAGGACCCCTTGACCCCATTATAATTGATTAAAACAGAATATTTGGAATACCTTGGGATACACACAAACGTGTGCATACACACATGTATACTTAAAATAACAGCATCCAGAGCAAGATTCACTAATACTGTAACCACCCCATCTCATACTTAAATGTAAAGCGTCTTATAATATCAGTCTTGTTCAACAAGACACCGAGTTCAGGGCATCTTATCACATAAAATGTTTTTAAGTCCAACAAGGCACCCAATTTGAGATCCAAATGATGCAAACAGTGTGGAATATCTGTATGATAAGCACTTCCAAAGATTATTTGTATCCCATTAAACTCATTTCAAGGTTCCTGAGAAGATTTAAAAATAAAATAGCTCCAACTCTTGATTAACAAAACAAAACAAAACAAAAATACTGAAGACTCCTATTCTAAGGATAATCTACCTGGGTGTGATCAAGAAACCTTTAAATTACTAACGTAGCCTTCATACTTATGTGCTACAAACTAACCACCTTTTGAAAAGCATTTTGGTAAATCATATTTTCTACTCTTGAGGCATTGACTTTTTGCATGGCCAGACATTATTTATTTAGCTGTAAATAGTTAAATAATCATTTAAATTGAGTGGAAAAAATAACATACACACGCAATAAATAATTACCCTTTTTTCATGGGGATTTTCTGGAGAATTTATGAAACTTAAAAGATGGAGAGAAACTAAGATGATGAACTGGCATTAATAAATGTTAACCAAGAACCAAGGTAAGTATAGGAGAGTTAAGGCAATCAGCATGGGAATATTTTTAATGTGAATTATTTAACTTTTAAAACTTGGAGGAAATTGTAATTATTCAAAACACTAATTTTTTAGAAATTAAAACATCTATTTTAATTTTTTCTTTTTCTTTTTTTGGTTTTAAACAGGCCATATACTCCTTTGAAAGGAGGATTCTCCAATGTATGGTTTGACAGATTTCAAATATCTAATGACTGCCCAGAACACCTTGAATCAATTGATGTAATGTGTCAGGTGCTTACAGATTTGATTGATGGTGAAGTAAAAAGTGGTATCAAGAAGAACAGGATATTAGTAGGTAAGATCTTTAAATGTTGAAAATTTAAATATTTTTTTCACTTTTGTGTAATTCTATACATTGAATTTTACTTGGAACATTATTTGGAAGCACTTTGTATATCATTTGACCTATTCACAGTTTCAGATAAACTTTACATATTAAGAATTTTAAGGGTAATAGAATTATAAGCAAAAACTCATGAAACTTTAAATGATTTTCTTTTTAATAATAACATACTTTAAGACTCCCATGGCAGTTAAAATTTTCTTTCTACTTTAATTTTCAATTAAGAGATTATTCATTCCAGTTTTTAAAACATTTTATTTTAATTAGCTTAAGTTTTATATGTTTAAACTACTATCGCCATAATTAAGATAAATTCGAGTACATAGTCAAAATATAACAGCAAATTCGTGAAAAGTAAACTCTTCAGAGTTAATACTGTAGGAATAAGGTATTCATAAACTTTTGTTAAACATGACTTTAGCAATCTCTCTTCCCAAGGGGATATAGCATGCCTTTATATAAGCTTTATTCTACTTACACCCCTTTCCTTTTCTGCAATCATAAAATACATAAACCGTTTTATAATACATACAAAAAAAAGATAAACTGTATAGAATGTGAATGATACAGGATGGATTTTTGTTAAAGAGTTATTTCCAAATAACTATTTAATTTATAATGAGTTGTATTTAATGTTGAAATTATAAAGCAAATTAAGTATCTTCATCATGTTCTAAATAACATTAAAATGTACATTGAAATCCTGTGTAGACAGGATTTGGGCAAATTAATAAACTTCCTTTGTGTTTATTGAAGTACTAAACTATTCATTGAGTTGAGAAGCAATATGATATAATGGATGGAATACATTTTTCTGTCTTGGCTTCAGCATTCACTTTTGTTAGTTAAAAGCAGTGTGCCCTCCAGTGCAGTAACATCACCTTTCTGGGCCTCTGTTTCCTCATCAGTGTTTAACTCTATATTTCTATGTTTCTGTGTTTAACATCTGTGTCATAGAGATAAATACAGAACGTTATGGGAGTACTGGGAAGAGCATAGTGAAGGGGCACCAATTCAGTCTAGGGCATCATGAAACAGTTACAAGATAGAATTCAAAATATGTGAATGTGTAACAGATTCTATCATTCAATGATTTAGCAAATATTTTCTAAGTTTCTAAGTACTGTGTGTCTGGCAGTAAGTTAGATGCTCAAAGAGACACACCGATAAATAGAACAGGAATGCCCCAGTTGCTTACAACCTAGAAGAGCCCATGAGGTACTTAAAATGGTAACTGTAAGGCCAGCCAGCCTTGATGATTGCCCTAAAGCAATATAACTGACAGCTCTTCAAAGGGAATGATCATCTGTATGTATTTTTATTTTTCAGGACCCATCGCAATGCTTAGCACAGAGCTAAACATTTATAATGAGCAGCATGACCTGATCTGTAAATTGATGACTTAAGTAGTTAAGTATCACAGGAATTCAGATGAAAAGAGGTCATAAGTATTTGGGGCTATTAGAGAACAATTTAATAGGAAAGTATCAGAGGCATTTGAGATTTTGAGATGTGCAAATAAGTAAAATTTTAACTATTATAGTGTAGAGGTCTAAACATAGAGAGTAATATGAATGGTAAATAGAAGTAAAAAAAAAAATAGTGCTTGTTTTTATCTGTCTGGATGTTAGATGGCTTTAGCAGAAAGTTTGTTGTCTGACTGGAAAATGCCTATTGATCTGTTAGCTGGACTAACAACCTGAAGAGCAAATGGTATAGTGACCAAAATGGGTCGAATCTAAAGTCCACCACTGCCTAGCTGGTTCATCACTTAATTGCCTACACTGAATTTCTGCTACCTCATCTGCAAAGTGGGAATAATGATACTATAAAAATACTATCTTACTGGGATATGATGTTTGTAAAACAGTTGGCTCATTTTACACTCTCAATAAATACTTTCTGGTTCCCCTTTTATCCTTTATTCTGTAGGTAATTGAGGAGAGATGATTAAAGTATGTCTTTGAGTCATATAGTTAGAACTGTGCTTTAGGAAAATTAATCTGGCAGAAGGGGTAAGTGAAGAGATAACAATTTGGGTATGGGAAAACCAGTTACTGAATTTATGATTATAGGGTAATGAGATCCTGAAGTCACGTAATGACAGTGGGAAAACAAAATATTAGTACTGTAAGAAATTGCTTTAAATTAAAATTATAAAATCTTCATACATAAAAACGTAGAAAACATACAAATCGTACTTCTAATGTATATGTGTTAAAGAACGTATCACGTTGAATTGTAATTGCTTGTATGCTTGTCTCCTGCCCCATCCCTCCTCCTCGCCCTTCCCTGTATCCATCAGTTACTTCATCTTATTCATCTTTGAAAAGAGGTTATGGATTGTTGTAAGGTCGGAGAGCTGATAAGAATTTTGAATCTGGGTTTACTTCATTTCAGAGCCCATGGTTCTTCCATTTAACTGAACGTTTGTAAAATTCTTAATACATCTTGTCAAATTCCTTTTGTGAAAAAGCTGTACCAGTTGATACTTCTCCCACCTATATTAGAATGTCCATCTTATTATACCTCACTGAATAATATTGTCTTGAAAAATATTTGCTAAAATTAAGTAAACAAAAGTAATTAATATGTACTTAATTTATTTTTCTTTTAATTCTGTTTGTGTTTTGACACAAGAAAGCTATTTTTACTTGTCTATTTTTTTCCAAATAATTTCTCAGTTTAAGAAGGTATTTCTCTAGAACTTGAATAAATATTCAAATAGGTGTTCTTCAGGCTTTTCTATAATTTTTTAAATATTTAATTATTTGATTCATCTGGAATTTTATTTTAGTTTCTTTCTACCATATCATGGAAGGTTTTAATTATTTTCTGAAGTACCAAGAGAACCTTGTTAAAAGATGATCTTATTTATAAAGCAATCAGTAATGTAGTCGATGTTTTATCAAAGCTCCACTGAATTTTTAACAAAATTTCATTTTGGAAGGGTTATAAACTATTATAAAATTATAAAATTTGAAATTTATTACAAAGTGCGTATAATAGGATATTTATATACACTTATGAATATAAAAATTGGGAAAGAAAAAAATGCTTTTTTAGAATTTGTGAGATGAGCTTATGAACTCCTATAAAGCCTCTTTCCTAGCTTGAGACATGAAAGAGACGACAAGTGCAGATCCAAGGTTGTTTGTCCTTGTTACTTTACTTTTAGTTATTTAAGCAGTCAATGAAAATAACTCTTCACTTACATTTCTCTAGAGTTAAACAAGTGTGCCAAAATACACGTGATTCTTGACCTTCTTTTATTATGACAAAACATTACTTATACTACCTCCTTTTTCTTTACATGGATTAGCTATTGATGCATAGAGGAAATAGCATTCTAGTCCTATAGGGATTTTCTCTTGTAGTTGTTTTTTATTTTTTTGTCTTATTGATCTAACTGAACTTCTCACTTATTTGAAAACATGGCACATGAAGCAAAATATCATTATGTATTCAAATATTTGTACATGCATTTCTTGAGTTGTGAATATCATAATTGCAAATGCATGAGTGCAACTGACAGCAGTATAACATGGTTAAGAACTTGGGCTCTGGACTTAGACTGCAGGTTTCTAATCCTAGATTCACTATTTTGTAGGTATATGAGTTTCCTTAACCTCTGTGTGTGGATGATAATAATAGTACTTATCTTACAGAGGTGTGATGATTCAGTTAGTCAATTCATGTGAAACACTTAGAAATATGCCTGGCAGGTAATGTTGAAGAAATTTTCTTGCTGTTATTAAACACTCTCTATACCACCTTCCCCATGGTCTCTCCAGACAACAGAAAGGCCGTACTGGACCAGTGCTGCCTGTGGAGACTTAGGGAGCTCACTGTTCCTTCCCTACCAGCTGTTTTCTTTTCTCAGTAGTATACGTGCTGTGCTTCCCTCTTTCTTTTTCATTGCTCATAGATTCTTTAAACAGAAGTACTGCTTCATATTTTTCTACTGGTTTAATACTTTTGTCAAGTGTCTATTATAGAACATTTTAAATTAAGTAAGATTTAAATGATATAACATTTTAATGAAGGAGGGATCTAGTGGGACGTCAAAGCAAAGTGCATTTGAGATGCTAGACACACATATACAAACAACATAGGTTATTTTAAAAAATTAGTTATAAGAGGAAAAACTAGAAAAATTACAAGATTAAAAAGGAAAGGGACTTCCCTGGTGGAGCAGTGCTAAGAATCTGCCTGCCAGTGCAGGGGACACGGGTTCGAGCCCTGGTCTGGGAAGATCCCACATGCCGCGGAGCAACTAAGCCCGTGTGCCACAACTACTGAGCCTGTGCTCTAGAGCCCACGAGCCACAACTACTGAGCCCGCACGCCACAACTACCCACACACCTAGAGCCCGTGCTCTACAACAAGAGAAGCCACCACAATGAGAAGCCCACGCACCGCAACGAAGGGTAGCCCCCGCTCACCACAACTAGAGAAAGCCCGCAGGCAGCAGTGAAGACCCAATACAGCCAAACATAAATAATTTTTTTAAAAAAAAGGAAAAAATAGAGATAATAGTACAAAATTGTTACCCTTGTTGATTTTGTTTAATATGTGATAAAATTTCAGATTTAATATCACACATTGTGTCCTCATGGAACCCTTTTCTCTGAGATTGTAATTTTAATAAATATAGCTTTGTAAACAAAACTATTCTCTATATTTGCATAGGTGGCAGCCCATTCTTTTTCTGTGGTTTTGTTTTGATTAGTGATATTATATTAAACTTAGTTTTAAAACAATGTTTTTATAGAGTATGATATACCACCTTTTCTAGGTAGTTTACACAGCTTAGTCAGGTCAAAAATGAAACTTCTCATACTAAATTTAATTTCCAAATTGTTAATAAGTGCTGGAGTACCAAAAACTATCAAAAGCTTTACAGTATAATGAGGGAGGTAACAGAAGTAAAGTGTTCTAAAGAACAAGTCGATTTTGGGGGGAGCTAGGAACTGCTTCTTAGAAGAGATAATCTCCAATTGAGTTTTAAAGAATGAGTGAGAATATGACTGGTAAACAAATAGGGAAACACATTCATGAAAGAAAACAAGGGACACATTAAAATCTCTCAGGGACTACTAGTTTGATATGCACTTCAACTCCCAGGATTATTGAATTATATACAGAGAATGACATGATCAGATGAGCATTTTAAAAAGATTACACTGACAACACTGTGGAGGCTGGCTAGTCTGAAGTCCGGGGGAATAGGAAGATGGCAAATGCAATAGATCCAGTAGAATGATGAAAGACCAACACGTACAGTGTTTCACGACTTTGGAAACAAAGGATGAGTAAGATTACACTAAAGAACATTGCAGTCAACTGCGAGTTTAGCTAAGAAAAATCCTTTGTTTTCTTGTTTTCAACAATGGAAATATATTTCTTTCTTAATGGAAAGAATAAACTTTGGTTAGAAAGGAGGAACTGGGCAAAAGCTTTAAATGTGTTCCTTGGAGACATTCGTGAATCCTTACTATGCATATTAAGAAGATCAGGTATAAGAAAGTTTATTTATTTTTATATAATAATACCACACATGATTCTACAGAGGGTATGGTAAAAATTAGGGGAAACACAGGCAATAAAATAGTGACTTTTAAATTACTTTCTGAATTTGGCAACATAGCTATTGTTAAAACCTGGATTCAGATTCTGTATTCTGAAAAAATTATTAAGAATATAGTTTAACACTATAATGTGTTTAAATTATACACATTTTTTCATATACAGTATCTTTCTTGACCCTTGTAATAGGTGAAGTAGGAAATTATTATTCTCATTTCAGATAAGAAGAAACTAAAGTTCAAAGAGACTGCTGGCTAAAATAGAGTTGGGACTAGAACCCAGATCCTATGCATTGACTTAGGAACTTTGTACCATAATGAGATTCCTTTTTCTAACCACTAGGTGGTGATAATTTGTTGTTAAGAGAAGACTGACATAATTTAGATTTAACTTTGATCTAGGATGTATAGAACCTGACAAATGATAATGACCAGATTATTGGTATAGTTTTTCATGTTCTCTGATAATATTATTAGAATTTTGAAGCAGGGATAATCAAGTGCTTCTGGAATTACACCTGAATAATTTACATGGATGCTCTACATACCCATTATGATGCTCTAAATACCCATCATGAGGAAAGCGGTTAAGGGAGTAATGGTCTGTTAATACAACTGACTATTATGTAACCATTATATACTATATACATACATTTAGAAGGTACTTAGTATACTTAGTATGTGTTCAAGGAGTAAAAAAATAATTGTGGAATTTTGTAATTCTGTTTAAAGACATTCAAATCAGTATTACATGAAAGTAAGGTATAAAATTGTACATATAGAGTGAGTTTAACTGTTAAAATGAATTTTTAAAAACGTCAAAATTATATGTGAGTAGTGAGATTTTGGATAACGCATTTTCTTTATTTTTGTGTGGTGGAAATACTTTACACAGTGGGCATATATTCACATATTAATTTTATAATAAGATTTAAAATTAAAATGAAGGGATAGTTGTAGTTACCAAGATGAAACCTAGCTCCACAATTTCCAGGCTGACTTTCCTGACATTATATAAGTTTCTTTTGAAGCTCTTGGAGGGAACTGTAGAATGATAGCATCCTTCTACTTTCTTTTAACATATATATATCTTAAATAATGTACGTTTCTTCAGCAACAACTATCAGAACTTTTAAGGCTTGGGACTGCTGTTTTAATAGCTTTCCATAGAAGATGATAAATATTTTGTTTACCCTGTCAATTTTATATGAGAGAAAATATACAAATATGGTGGGCATAATTTATATATTCCCAAATTTTTGAGACTTTACCACAGTTCATTCTGAAAAATAATTATATATAAAGTGGAAAAATTGTTGCAATTTGGTTGGAGGGTGGATTTTATTCCATTTTTAAAATCCCATTCACTTGACGGTAAACTTGAATTGTAAGTTCCCTGCCTCCCCCCCGCACCCCCCCACCCCCAGACTTTGTTTTCAGATAGATTAGCTTAGTTTTCCCAGTACAGTTTTTATACATTATTACTGTTTTATTTAATTTAAAGAGTTCATAAAAACTAGGTTATTTTTTAACATGTTTTTTATTCAGCCTATTAATCTTAAATGTATGTTGAAATGTTAACTCTTGACATTTTAATGCTTCACCAGCGACTATAAATATACATCATAACTATTACCTACAATGAGTTTACTCATTGGTATTTACTTATTGAGCAGTATATTTTATATTGCATTTTAAACACTTAGATGAAAATTGAAATAACTAGTCTTTTGTGTTAAATTTTCTTCCATTAGAAAAAAATACATAAAGTCCCTTTCACACCGGTGTCCGCAACGTTAAAGGTGACTGTATTGTCAAAGATCGCTGGTGAGGAATTGCAGGCTACCTCACGAGATTATAAATGGACAAGGAACTTAGATTGAATCTTAAAATAATGAGTTTTCAACGAGTACATTTTTCTTCATTATAAATTAGGAGAATTGAACATGAGGTTAAATGTCTCAAGGATGCCTTTGTTCATAATGGCATTTCATAAGTGGGAAAGTGTTTTCTTTCTTAGTTTTGTTGCTGTTCTTGTTGCTGTTCTTGCTGTGAGGCTGGTCCCCCCGAGGGGCTCGGAAATCCCATAAAGTGATTAAGTTACCCTAGTCAATAAAAGCGCAGTGATGGGGTGGGTGCATTTAATGTGTAAAAATTGTCTCAGTAGGTGTGCTTTTATAATAATTTTTAAATATGTTTTTGCTCACTGGTCTATTTTTATTCACATTTTATCTTTGTATGATTTTTTTAAAAGATCACATTTAATGATATTAGCCACATTATGTTTTTTATGGAACATTAATTTCATTTTGCTCCATTTATGAAATTTAAAGCTTTTTTTCCATCATTGGTGCAACTTAGATTATCTAGAACTTCATTGTCCCATATGATAACCCCTAGCCACATGTATTGAAACTCAAATTTTAACTAGGTAAAATTAAAGTAAATGTTTAATTCCTCAGTCATACTAGTCCCATTTAATATGTTACTTAGGTACATTTGGCAAAAAATATAACTCAAGCTCTTGAATTTCTCCAAAAAATAAAAACTGTGTTCCTACAGCCTTGTTATCTCTAACATATGGATTTCTTTTAAATCATGAGATGTCTTTTAACTCTCAGTCATGCTGGGGAATATCACACCGAGTCTCTAAGCTGAAGCTGGGCCATCCTCTCTGCTATGTCACGGTCAGGTCCCTACCTCCATATTCTGTGTTGTGTTGGTTTTCGCCTTTGAACAGAAGGGTCCAGGTATTTTAATCTGCATATCTCTGGTGACTGGTGTCACTCCAGTGACAGTGTTTGGCACATAAAAGACAATAAAAGTTTGTCAAGTGAATATTTTTTCCCCTAACTCTTTTTTAAAAGGACATATGGGTACCTATGTTTGAAGTATACCATCACAAGTCAGTTTTCAAAATAATACTATAATACAATGATGTTTTATCTTTCTCACCAAATTTTTGATCATCCTTCCTAATTCAGAGATCACTAAGCATCTATTATATGGCAAACTCTAGAAATATAATCCTCATGGAGCTTGTAGTTTGGCAAGTAAGACAGAAAGGTGCATGTTATTAATTGTAGCTGCAGTGTGAGGACTCCTATAAGTATAAACAAAATGTAAGTAGACACTAGAAGTTTAAATAAATAACACTTGTGCTATGACTCATATTTTGAAATATAATAAATATTTTTACTTGATGACCAAAATTTATTTTTTCAATTCTAGCTCCTTTTATAACAAATTATTTTACCAGTGATGGCATAGATAGAACAATGTTATTTACTCATAGCAGGTTTTTTTCCATGAGATCTAAAGTAGGCTAAATTTCTCTTTAGCATTGTATCTCTTTTATGTCTCCAAATATTTATGGAAGATTGGCATAGCTATATCTTGTTCTAAATTATCGTTACATATATTCTGCTTTTTCTGACAAGTGAATTTTTGCTTCTTTTAGGAGGATTTTCTATGGGAGGGTGCATGGCAATGCATTTAGCATACAGAAATCATCAGGATGTGGCAGGAGTATTTGCTCTTTCTAGTTTTCTGAATAAGACATCTGCTGTTTACCAGGTAAGTTCCAGATTTTAAAAACAAAACAGAAAAAAAAAATGAGACATTCACACACTGAAACTAAAACAACATTGATAATTACACAATAACAATTGATTCACAGAGCATTCCTGGGAATTCAAATTAGTTATATCGGTAAATTCCAGCTGGTCATTCATGTTTAGGAAGTGCCTTGTACAGAGATTATTGTTAAGCAAAGTGTCAAAGAGAAAAGGATAAAAAAATATGTGTATGCTATATATGTATCCTGCATACATATTAAAAATATAGATGATTACAACTAGGTTTGCTTATTATGTCATGAACATAATCAAACCAAAGAATCAGTTACATGGCTGGTACCTATTTTTCAGCAATACCCTGATTCATGAGTATGGCATATTACAGTGCTGCAGCCTCATTACCAGAAGTAGAACCAGTAGGTATGGAAATGAGAACAAGAATGCTATTTTTTCCTTGATTGTACCTGAGCTCTGTGTTCCTCCCTCTTTCCACTCCATGTGAAGAGGTTTGTCTTCCCAAGACACAAGGTTTCTGCGGGAAATGCTTTGACCATTTTTGAGACAGTCCTCTACGGAGTAAATTCAGATCACGTACAGCTGCAGCTCCAGTGGTGCCAGCAACCAGCTAAGCTCCTGGTCCTGGCCCATCAGTATATACCTCAGAGAGCTCTACCACTGCCTCTTCTTCCCCTTTAAATATTGAAGCTTTGGTTAAATTGGAGTTTTTCTGTCCCTCTGATTTCTGAGAATAATGTTCTTAAATGAATTTCTTAAACTTCTCCATTTTTATGTTCTCTTCTCTAGGCTCTTCAGAAAAGTGATGGTGTCCTCCCTGAATTATTTCAGTGTCATGGTACCGCAGATGAGTTAGTTCTTCATTCTTGGGGTGAAGAGACAAACTCAGTGTTAAAATCTCTAGGCGTGAGGACAAAGTTTCATAGTTTCCCAGGTGTTTACCATGAGTTAAGCAAAGCTGAGCTAGAAAAACTGAAGTCATGGATTCTTACAAAGCTGCCAGACTGAATGAGTCAAGATTGATTTGTTAATATATAAGCAATGTCTTTATGAAAAGTGATTTTTACTGCCAAATTCTAATTTGATAAACAATAATTAAAATATTAAAAAATATCAGCAGTTTACTGACTTATTAGTTATTGAAATGCTTAGCACCATAGAGAGTAGTATAATCTTATTAATGGTTAACGTTAATTTAGGCAAACATCTGTGTATTATTTGGCAGATACATTTTTATAAATATTTGAAGGCCTTGTAAGTAAGTAAATATTGAAATATTAGAAAGTAATTAAACTAGCTTAAATAAAGGCAATGAGAAACCAGGAAAAGTTTTAACATGATATTATTTTATCTTTGTTGTCACTTTCTTTAAATTGCCTTTCCGGAGATATTCATGCTCGTGTAGTTTTTGACAGAATAACATTAGTACCCCACATTTATAGAGTAGTTTCCCGTTACCTCACCTGACCATCACAAGAGCTTGATGAAGTAGACTGAGTAGTTATTACTGGTATTTTATAATAGGGATAGAAGGATTGAAAACTTTCCCAAAGCCTCAAGAGTAAAAACTGGAATCCAGACCTTCTGGTCCCAGTGGAGCTCCCTTTCTCTGAGACCAGATTGCTGCTCTGCTCCAGTCCTAGGGTTCCAGTTGCTCTTCAGATCCTTGTCAGCACTCAGTATGGCCAGTCTTTTCAGTTTTATCCATTCTGGTGGGTATACAGTGGTAACACTTTGTGGGTTTAATCTGCATTTTCCTAACCTAATGGTGTTAAGCAATTTCTGTATGCTTATTTGTGATCTGTATAAATTCTGATGATATCTCTATTCAGATCTTCTGCCCATTTTTTATTAGGGCATTGTAACAGCTTGCATTGTAAAAGCTGTTTATATATGCTGGATAGAAATTCTTTGTTAGCCAGATGTTTTACCTTTTTTTTTTTTCTTAGTCTGTGGCTTGCCTTATTTTCTTTACAGTGTAATTCAAAAGAGCAGAAGTTTTTAATTTGATGACGTCCAGTTTATTCGTTTTTTTTTCATTTATACTTTGTGCTTTTGATGTCATATTTAAGCAATCTTAAGAAATCCTAGGTCACTAAGATTTTCTCTTATATTTTCTTCAACTAATACACTCCTTTAGTGCTATAAATCTTCCCGCAAGTATTATATTAGTAACATCCCACGATCTTTTATATTTTGTGTTTTCATTTTCATTCAGGTCAAATCTTTCTAAATTCCCTTTTGATTTCTTCTTTAACCCTTGGGTTACTTAAAATTGTGTTATTTTGTTTCAGTATATTGGGAATTTTCTAGAGATCTTTGCTATTGATGTCTAAGTTAATTCCATTGTGGGTCAAGAGAGCATACTTTGTATGGCTTGAAACCTTTTAAATTTATTGTGACTTGTTTTATAGCCCAGAAGATGGTCTATCTTGGTAAATGTTTTGTGTGCACTTTAGAAAAATATATATGATGCTAGTGTTGGGTGGAGTGTTCTCTACATATCAGTCAGATCAAGTTGGTTGATATCCTTGTTTAAATCTACTATATCCTTGCTGATTTTCTGCCTGCTTGTTTTATAAATTATTGAGAGGGGAATATTGAAAGTTCCAAGTATAACTGAATTTGTTTCACTTTGCCATTCCCTCAGTTTTCGCTTCATGTACTATGAGGCTCCATTATTAGATGCGTAAACATGTAGGACTATTATGTTCCCCTGATGAACTGGCCTCTTCTTCTTTATGAAATGATCATCTCTATCCGTGATAGATTTTTTTGCTCTGAAATACTCATTGTGTGATATTGATATAGTCCTTCCAGCTCCCTTTAGCCTAGCATCTTTTTCCATACTTCTCTTTTAACCTATTTGTGTCTTTATCTGTAAAGAGCAATTCCATCAGGCAGAACACAGTTAGGCCTTCCTTTTCTATCCAGTATGGTCATCCCTGCTTTTTAATTGATTATTTAGAACATTTTAATGTGATTGTTGGCATGTTTGGATTTCAAGCTACCATCTTAGCTGTTTATTTTCTCTATATTCCATCTCTTCTTCTTTGCTCCCTTATTCCTCTCTTTCTACTCCCCCTTTTTTCCTTGGATTATGTGTTCTTTTGCTGGCTTCTTAGTTATGATACTTTGTACTTTTATTTTAATGATTACTTTAGGGTTTATAGCATATAATTTTTATAAACTTTTTTAAATTTTGAAATAATTACAAGCTCACAGGAAGTGTTAAAGATAGTACAGAGGAGTCCCATGTACCCTGCGCCCAATGGTTACATCTTAACGTAACTATAGTATAATGTCAAAACCAGGAAACTGACATTGGTACAATGTGTGTGTATAGTTATATGCCATTTTTTCACATGGCTGCATGGATTCATGTATCCACCACTACAATCGATATGCAGAGCTGTTCCATCACCACAAAGATGCCCATTGTGCTGCCTATAGTCATATCAGTCCCTTCCTCTGTCACCATCTAACCCATAACAACCACTGATTTGTACTCCATCTCTATAACTGGACATTGTGAGAATGTTATAGAAGTAGAACTATACAGTATGTGACATTTTGAGATTGACTTTTTTCACTCCATCCAAATTGTTGCAACCATCAATAGTTTACTTCTTTTTATTGCTGAGTAGTATGCCATGACGTGAATGTATTCAGTATTATAGTTTGTTAAACTGTTCTCCAATTAAAACACAGTTTTTTTTGGCTATTACGAATAAAGCTGCCTTGAACACTCTTGTATAGATTTTTGTCTAGCTGTAATTTTTTTTCTCTCTGGGATAAATACCCAAGAGAGTGATTCCTGGGTTGTATAATAAGTGTATGTTTAAGAAACTACCAGACTTTTCCAGAGTAGCTGTGCCATCTTATATTCCTACCAGCAAGGCAGGAGAGAGAAATATTCTCTGCATCCTCATCAGCATTTTGTAGTTTCACTATTTTTTTTTATTTTAGCTGTTCTAATAGGTATATAATGAAATCTCATTGTGGTCAAAATGTGCATTCCCTAATGGCTAGTGATTTTGAGCCTATTTTCATAAGCTTATTTGCCATCTCTATATCCTATTTGGTAGATGTTTCTTCATGTCTTTTGCCCATGATCAAATTGGATTTTCTTTTTTGTTTGCGTTAACTGTTGAGTTTTGAAAGTTTCTTTTAATATCTTCTAGATGTGAGTCTTTTGTTAGTTATATAGTTTTCAAATACTTTTTCACTGTCTGTAGCTTGTCTTTGCAACTTCTTAGGTCCTTTTATGCAAAAGTTCTAAATTTTAATGAAGTCCAGTTTACTGACTTTTTCTTTCATGGATTATGCTTTTGGTGTTAGTGAGCTATTGTGAGTTAATTTGTATAAGGTGTGAGATTTAGGTTGACATTCATTTTATGTTTTTGCCTATAGATACCAAGTTGCCCAGCACTGTTTGGTGGAAAAACTATCCCTCCTCCATTGAATTATTTTTGTACCTTTATCAAAAATCAGTTGCCTGTTGCTTGTGTGTCTGTTTCTTGTTTATCTGTTCTGTTCCATTGATCTCTGTGTCTGTCCACATAACGTTAATTACTATAGTTATGTAATTCTTGCAGTCAGGTACAGTTAATTCTTCCTAATTTATTCTCCTTTTTAAAATTGTATTAGCTATTTTAGTTCCTTTCCTTTCCATATAAATTTTAAAATACACTAATCTATATCCACGCAAGAAATCTTGCTGGAATTTTGAAAGGAAGTGTGTTAAATTTGTATAACAATTTAGAGAGAATTGACATCCTTTCCATATTGAATCTTCCAATTCATGAACATGATACATTACTCCACTTATTTAGGTCTTCTGTAGTTTCTTTCATTATTTTTTTGTAGCATTTAACATACAAGTTCTGTACATGTTTTGTTAGATTTGTACCTGAGTATTTTATTTTTTGAGGAATTATAATTGGTACTGTATTATTAAATACAGTTTCCCTGTGTACATTGCTAGCTTATTGAAATACAGTTGTTTTTTGTGTGGGTGTCTTATATCATATGATCTTGTTTAGGTCAGTTACTAATTCTAGGAGGTTTTCTGTAAATTCCTTGGGATTTTCTACAAAGAAAATGTCACTTGCAAATTGGAATCAATTTATTTCTTCCTTTCCAAATGAAGTCCTTGTATTTCCTTTTCGTTGCTTATTACACTGACTAGAACTTCCAGCACCATGCTGGATGAGAACAGTGAGAGCAGACATCCTTGTCTTATTCCCAGCCTTAGGGGGAAAGCATTCAGTCTTTCATTAGTAAATATGTTAGCTGTAGGGTTTTTTGTAGATGTTCTTTATCAAGTCAATGAAACTCCTCTCTATTCCTAGTTTTCTAAGAGTTTTTATCATGAATGGTTGTTGAATTTTATCAAATGCTTTTTCCACAACAAGGGATAAAATTATGTATAATTATTAATGATATAATTTATTATTATATTATAGTTATTAATAATATAAAATTATTCTCTTTAGCCTGTTAATAATATGTTCTTCTATATCTGGTATGTGTTTTTACTCTTGCTGTTTTTAAGAGTTTCTCTTGTCACTGATATTGAGCAATTTGATTATGACATATATTGGTTGGTATAGTTTTTCATGTTTCTTATCCCAGGGGTTCCTGCTAATCTTTTTAGGTGGTTCTTTCTGGCCCCAGATAGTTTACTATGTGAATACTCCAGGTGGACCATCTCTAGATCTCTGGAGTTCTGTCTCTGTGAAACTTACTCTTCTCTGGTACTCTGTCCTCTCAATTCTAGCCAACATCATCTACTCAGACTCTTAGCTCTGCATGTCAACTCAGGGAGTCCACCAGGCTCTGCATGGATTTTTCCTCTCTGTTCTGCAGTCTGGGAACTCTCTCAAGGCAATAAGCTAGGGACATTATAAGGCTCACCGTGTTTCCTTTCCTTCTCTCAGTGATCACTATCCTTCATTGCCTGATGTATGCTGCTTTGAAAAACATTATCTCCAGTACTTTGCCTTTGTCTGTTTTGTTTTGTTTTGTTTTTGTTTTCTGTTTGTTTCAGGTGAAAGAATCCATCTAGTCCCTGTTTATTAATAACATTATGTCTGAATGCTAAATTATCCTTTAAAGAGATTTAAGTTTTTTAAAGTCTTTTATATTTACCCATATTCTTTCCTTTTCTAATGTTCTTCATTCCTTAATATAGCTTCAGATTTCCATATGGTATCATTTTCCTTCTGCCTGAAATACATTAACATTTATGACAGACATGTCTGCTGCTGTTAAATTCTTTCAACATTTTTCTATCTGAAAAAGTATTATTTTGTTTTTATTTTTGAGAGCTGTATAGAATTCTAACTTGACAGGGTTTTCTTTCTTTCATTACTTTAAAGATCTTATGCTGTCATCTTCTAGTTTGCATTTTTTCTACTGTTGTTCTAATCTTTTATCCTCTGGCTGCTTTTACAATTTTCTCTATTTTTAGTTTTAAGCAATTTGATTATGGTGTGCGTTGGTGTTGTTTTCTCCAGTTTCTTTGTGCTTGGAATTTCTTGAGTTTCTAATCTGTGGATTTATAGTTTTCATGAAATTTGGAGACGTTTTGGCCATTGCATTTTCAAATATTTGTTTGCCCATCTCCTGTCCCTTTTTTGTAGGATTTCAATTATACTTATATTAGACTATTTGAAGTTGTTTCACAACTTACTTGTACTTATTTTTTTCTTTTTTTAAATTTGTTTTCACTCTCCATTTTATTTTGGATAGTTTCTATTCCTGTTGTGAATTTCACTGATATTCTCTTCTGCAGTTATTTGCCATTAATCCCATCTTTTTTATCTCAGATATTGCCTATCTCTAGTTCTTTTTTTTAATTTCTTGAATTCATATAATTAATATGCTTAGTCTTTTCTCCACCTTCTGGAATATATGGGATATAGTTTTAATAGCAGTTTTAATATCTTTATTTGTTGAGTCTATCATCTCTGTCATTTTTGACTTTGTTTTAATTAATTTTTCTTTTTATTAAGGATAAATTTTTTTGCTTCCTTTATATGCCTAGTGATTTTTTATTGGATTTCAGACATTGTGAATTCTACATTGTTAAGTGCTAGATCAGTTTGCATTTCTATAAATATTTATGAGCTTTGCCATGGAATGCAGTTAAGTTACTTGGAAAGTACTTAGAAGTATTTTGATCCTTTCAGGCTTCCTTTTAAGCTTTCTTAGGTAGTACGAGAGCAGTGTTTGCTCCAGGACTAACTTTGCCCCACCGTTCAAGCAACACATGTTTGAGTACTCTAGCTGATACTCACTGGATTGTGAGGTTTTACACTCTGACTAGTGGGAACTCAAATTTTTCCCAGTCCTCTCTGAGCCTCAGTGATCATTCCTTCTGTTCCTTCTAGGTAGTTCATACTTGCCTTACACAAATCTGTTGGTTAGTACTCTGCTGAAGATTTGAGGGGGACCCTCTGAAGATCTCTGGCAGTCTTGCAGCCGTCCAGTACTCTGTCATGTGAACTAGAAGCTCCTTGACTTTCTGGACTCCCAACTCTGTCTCCTCCTTCAGCTCCATCTGGGTCTCCGTCTCCATGCTGTAGCCTTGAAACTCTTCACACAGTAAGCTGGGCGTTTGTAGAGCTCACTGCATTTGCTTCTCCTTCTTAAGGGATGACTCTCCTGCACTGCTAGTGCCCAATATCTGAAAATATATATGTGGCCCACCTTTTCAGTTGTTTCAGGTCAAAAAATAAATCTGGTCCCTGTTCCACCTTGGCCGTCTTGGTCATATGTGGAAGTCCCTTCATTCCCCTTTTATTTGAAGCTATAAACTGTAAATTTGAAGAGGGAGGGAAGGAGAAAGAAAGGGTAGGAAGGAGAGAGGAAGAGAGACAGAGACTGAGACTTTAACTAATAAAGTCCAAATCCCCTCAGAGAAGACTCAGTTCGTGCAGTGTTCTAATTATCTTAAGCTTTTAATGACCTTCAACTTCTTGAAATTTTAAATGCCCTGGCTTGAATATACATGGGATCACTCATGTTTAAAGCCCTTATGGCTGCAATTTGCCTTAGGAGTAACATATATACATATCATAGATAAGGGTGTCAGGCTTATATGTGTGGAGTATATACATACCAAATATAAGAGAAAGGAACCCAGATTTTTTTGGTGAATATTTGTCCTATCACTTGATAATTGTGTATTCTTGGATAACTCTCAGCCTCTGCTACAGTATACTCTTGTGAAATTGTTGTGTGAGGATCAAGTTGTATAGCATGTGTAAGAGCCTTTAATAAAATGTAAAGTTAAAGAAATTGAAGGTATTACCTGTATTGTTTTGCCAGAAATGGAGGGATGTATGTGTGTAATGGTTATAAATCTTTCTCCACAAACTGATCTATGCGTGGAAGATATATCTAAATATTTTATATGATAATCTTTGATCCAATTCTACTCCCCTACCCATTGGGCTGATAGGATATTCAATCTTAGTTATCATTTGCTGCTTTACCTCATTCCAAATCATGCCAGTCTGGGCCCCCTTGCAAAGGGCAGTATCTTTAGGGGAGGCCCTCCATTATCCAGTGCTCACTCACCGTGAGACACCTATTGTCCATACGCATGAGGTCTCTTAAAGCCAAGTATTTGAGCCTGAAAAGTCATTGCTAAGGCTAGACACACGAGGGTTTAAGGTTTTATCCTCCTAAGGAAACAGCTCAGCCATTTTCCTCATGTTCTGTTGCTTCACCCACATAAACATTTCCTAAGGCAAGAGAGTTGAAATGGTCTTGATACTTTCTTACATGGGAGAGGAAGAATAGCAACAAGAAGAAAGCATAAATCAGTATCACAGTAAATTATATATGTTTATATGTTGGGGAGACTGGAATTTTTCAAGAGAGGCGAGATAAAGCTAGTATGTAAGTGAAGGGAGATGTTTCACTTTTTACCATATATTTCTTCTGTTTGAATTTTTATAATGAGCTTTATTGGTTTTGTAATCCTTAAAGTGAAGGAAAATGTTTATTGATGGCAGTTTTTCTCAACTAAGGACTGAGTAGGAAAGATCACCATCAGTGGTAGGAAAATTAAATGTATTCTTTATAGGAAGTTAAGAATTTCAATTAACAAAATGAACTGAGAACAGAATATGAAACAGACTGGCAATTTGGCTATTGAGAATTTAAAGTACTTTAATACGTTAAAAAAAAAAGTCCAGATATCACTTAGCCAGAATATATTTAAACAATACGTCTTTATCATATAAAAGGAATTTCCTGATATACAATAAGAGAACAGAAAGCCATGTAAACATTTCAAGAAAAGTCAGATTATATGATACACAAAGACCGCTGGTTCACAAGACTTTGTATATAATTTTAATACATGAAAAGCTAGAATTATATTTACAGAGAACAAATGTACTGTTATGTACATTTTGATTCTCC